GAATTTTTGCTTCCATTGCATTTTTCAACTGACTTATACTTATTCTCTTCCATGATGTAATCTACCACTTAGAGTTTTAGTAATTCTAGTAATTCTATAAAGACATAAAATTTGCTAAGCCTTTCGTGATTTCTGCCTTTTCCTCTTGGCTGAGCACAAATGAGGCAAATCATGAGACTGATGTTCAACTTTGACATCTTCCTTTTCTCTCTTGCCATGCAGTGTGTAGGCCCTGTTTGTGTTCTGTTAAGAGCATAATCTACTGCTCCACAAAGATTAGCCTATCATGTCAGAGCTAATCATAATCTATTCTCTAAAAATCAAAAGAAATGAAACTCAAATATTCTGAGAAAAGCAGCTATACCAACTTTCTTTCCCAATACAAGTGTATATGGTTGTACGGACACACTTGGTGGTACATGCAGACTCTCATAATTTCTGATGATTTATTTCAGAAACCACCTGCAGCTCAGTTTAAGGAATTTATCTGGTAACAAAAACTGGCTCAGTGTAGCTATGGCATGGCCTATAGTACCATTTGGTTGATGTCCTTGGGAGAATTCCTGAACAGATGACATTTGTTTCTTGATGCAAACTGCAGTTTCCTTGTGTCTCAGTTGGAAGAAAAAAAAAAACAAAACTTGAGGTCTATTCTACAACATTTCCTGCCTGGACCTCAACTAGCATGAATTCCACAGTAGTAACCTACAATACAGTTGTTTCCTAAGGTCATAGGTACTCCTCTGTATCAAGGAATGTAGCTGCATTATGTCCAGAAAATAACGTTAATAATGATGAAATAGCTCATTTGACAAAAAAAACTTTCCAAACAACAAAGCTTTTAGGTTGCACCATGGACAATGCTACATCTAGTCAGATTTACAGTGAGATGTGGGAGCTAAAGGAAGCAACGTTTGCAAACTGATCAGAAAAAGAATACAAAGAAAGTGTTTAAAGTTGTGGCCTAGCAACCACTTGTTGGAGAGAACTGTGCAGATCAAAGGCTTTGAATAACTGTTTTGAATTGGGACAATGAAAAAATAAAAAAAGACCTAGAGGGCACCTCTTAAATCTCTGAGGATGTCCTGGCCATGACAGGACAGATTTATTTAGGGACTGAGCCTTGGCACTGCCCGCGGGCTTCCTACCTAAGGACCACCTTGGAGGCTCAACAGATCCAGGTGGATAGACACCCTCACATTCATATGGGGTTGATCTCACAGACAGAATGCGAAAGTTGTTGGTCCAGGTGGCTTCCACTGAGATTTCAAGCCATGCAGAAGTTTGTCACAGACTCCAGGGAAACAATGTTTGGTGGAATCCTGCAAAGGCATCTATAGCAGAGACTCCAGATATTTCCAGTTACCAGCAATAAGCAACACCTTCTGGGGAAAGTTGCAGGTGCCATACAGCCTGAGCGAGTAATCATGTGAACTATGACCAGTAAAGTCTCCAAGCTGGGAATATTCAAGCCCCTTGTGGGCCCAACACTTCCATGCAGTGTACCCAAGATGCAAGACTCAGCACTTCTAAGACTTGTGTGCCTTGCTGGGTTTTGGTCTTGTTTCTAGTCAATTACTCCTTTCTATGTCTATTTTTCCCTTTTAAAATAAATCTTAATCATATCCCTATACTGCTATTTTATCTTAGGAGTACGTACCTTTTTTATTTTATTTTTTCAATTTTAGAAGCTCATAGCTGGAAAGAATTTCCTTCAGATATTAAATGAGAGTTTGGCCTTGAATGTGCAGGTGCTTGTGAGAATTAGCTGTGGAACTACTGGGGATGGAATCTGTGCAGTTTGAATGGTGAGAAGGATGTGAACCTCCACTGTGGTTTGCATATAGCGTGAGATGGTTCCCTCTAGGGATTATGCGTTGCAAAGTTGGCTCCAAGTGATATTGGAGAAAGGTGTGGGATTTATGAAAAGGCAGGGCCTAGTGGGAGATCATTAGTCAACTGGAGCTGTGTCCCCGGAGAGCGTCGTGAGGCTCTGTTTTATCAAGGGCTCCCGTGTGGCACTGTGATCTTCTGTCCCCACCCGGCTCACACCCCTGTGCTATCATCCATCAGGAAGGGCCTCATCAGAGCTGAGCCAAGGCTGACACCCAGAGGTGCAGCAGGTGCATGTGAAAAAGACAAAGGACCAGTGGATCGCTATCATCCCCTCTACCCTCTGAATTCCTGGCCTGTAGAAATCCTATACCTTGTTTCGAAAGGAACACATTCTTAGTAAATATGGATGAATGAGTGAAAGAGTGATAGAAAAAGAAAAAAAGCTGCATCCTTAGAATCACTGCCTTCTGCTGCTAATGCTACAACAAGGGTAAAAGTTCCATACAAAGTTCTATTGAAGACATCTGTAATCCCAGGACATTTTTGCTTTCCAGGAAAGGGTGATTAGAGAAATTGTGACAAATGATCTTCCATCCTATAGGATCAACTTAATAGAAAATGCAGACCCTGTCCAGTTAAAAAAAAAACTACCTCTAGATGAACATACCAGTGTGTGTGAAGGAGGTGGGTGGACCTCCCCAGACTCACGCTTTCTTAATACATTTCTGGCAAAGTCAGAAATAATTAGTGAGAAATAAAAAAAGCAATTATGCAGATAATAATTACAAAGTAATTATGCAGAATGGAGTCAATGAGAAATTATAGGAAACGCGATGTTTATGGATTAGGAGCATAAGAAGTTCTTTTGTCTTTCATGCGGACATGCCTCTGAAGGGGGAGAGTGAATACCTCAGGACAAGAGTGCTCTGTTCCAAGGACAGGCTCACATGCTGGAAATGCACCCGTATGTGGCTTGATCAGAGATGACAAGTTGCAGCTCATCCACAGGGCATATGAGGCTTCAAGCCGGGGGTTGGGGGTGGGGGGAAGTGGATAAACTCCACTGGGAAGATTTTGGCCCCTTTCCAGTCTGAAGATTGGGGTAGCGAGCCTGCATGCCACAGCCAGGATGCTCAAACTAGACTGCATTGGAACAAAGAGAGGAAGACTGAGAAGCTTTCATATTGTCTGGCTTTCATATTGTTTGTTATGCCAGGAAACCCTGAAGGGAGCCTCCAAAATGCATCTGGGTGAGTGAAATGTTGTAGATAGGCAAGGAAAGAAAAGGCCAGGGCAGCTCTGCAGCAGCTGGTGGGACCAGAGATGCTGCCTCATGCTCCTTGATGGGAGGTGGACTGGTGAATGGAAGACGGGCAGCCTAGCACGTCCATAAGCCTTCGCGGATTGCTGCTATCAGCCAGCAAGGATTGTGGTCAAAATGGAGTCTGTTAAAAGGGCCCCGAAACAAACTGGGGTCGGGCCAGTGGCTGCAGAGCACTATAGCAAAGCCAGCTTCACTGCCATTGCGGAAGGAACTGGGCTGCTCTCTTAACACTAGGATCTCACAAGGGTTTATTCTTTGGGGAAACTATTTTGTAAGCCGTAATTGAGGCTCTCGCTGAAAGCCAATTTCAACTTAGTAACACCTAGATATATCTGAGCCCCCTCAGGCTCTGAATGACCATTCAGAAAGAATTAGTAAAAGCCCTAACTGCCCTGTATTTTGAGGTGCTCTTAGGGAAACTTCAGTGTCAAAGGCATTTCTGTCCCATAGATACACTAAGGAACAAGCCTTCAGGACTCAGTTCTGTGTTGCTTATAGTTGCTGTAATCAGCTCTCCATCTCTAACGTCAAGCACTAGAATGTGGTTACAAAACAATACCAAAACCAGAAAAGAAGTTGGGAAGGCATCTCCAACTGAATGGGAGCCTCCAGAGAGTAGCCAGCAAGTTGCGGGCATTTCAGTGTATAAAGCATCTTGGCTACCCAGCAATGAATAGATAGATAGTGGATAGGACTGCGGTTTCTCTCCCCAGAATGACAAGTGTTAAGTACTTTTTTCTTTATACTGCCCCAGGTTTCAGACACTCAGTTGGAACAGCTTTGTTCTGAGATGGCTGGTAGACACTCCAGGCTAGGTTCATACTTTAGAGCTATTTGTTTTACACACACAGCCCAGGCTTCAGCTGGCCCCAGAAGTTCAGTTCCCTGAGTGGAACATTGGACCCCACTGGCCATACCTGGCCTGAGATCTTAGAACAATCTGATCTTTCCCCCAGGTGGGTGTTGGTTCTCTGAGATGAATGACTGATGAGAGATTGTGTGGGGTTCCCTGGGCAGTTTCCCAACAGTGAGGCTGTTCCTGTCACGGGTGAACTCGCTCGCTCTGCTCTGTGCAGAGTGACGGGGCATCATGTGTGAACTGGAGAACTAGAGAATTCTCCTGTTTTGAAATTCCCCCATCTTTCCCTTCAACTCTTAGCTACCTCCCCTCAAACATTCTTCGACAGCCAGAACAAAAATAAACCCTTAAAAGCCGTGTCATAAAGATGCTGCTGTAGTTTCTGTATGCAGAACATCCCAAAAAGCCTGGAATGCCAGTAACGTTAAATTTCCAAAAAGAAGACTGGCCTGAAGTCAAGCTGCAAGCGCTGACAGCGCTTCATTAAACACCATGGAGGAAAAATGAGAGGGACACTTCTTGGGCGAGTCCGGGAAAATGCCACCTGCACCACGGAGTTTGGACAAAATTTACTTTCACTTCCTCCTTTTCTTCTGAAGTGTGATGAATGTGACAGGTTTCCCAGAAGACCTAACAATGGAACTGAACAGTAGGAAGCCTTCAGATTTTTACCCCCTCCCAAAAATTGCTCCAGAGAGTAAAAGGGAAAAGTCTAGAAGGAAGGTGTGTGTTTTAGGGAGTCGCCGACTGTATGGGTTTCTGTGTGTTCTCACTTTGTTTAGAAAAGAAGTTCCCTCCTTAATCCTCAACTAAACCTTTTAGGTAGCCGACCATTTGACGTTAATTAAGCTGCAGTGAACACTCAAAAATCCAGAAAACGCTGAAGGGAGATGAAGTTAAGGACCACCTCAAAGAGCTGTACAAGGAAACACAGTCAGGCTCAGGTGCTTGTCGCTCAGGCTGCGTCTGAGTGCCTCTTACCTGGGCTGTTCTCACTATTCCATTCTTGGGGCAGTGCCCGTCCAGCACGCCGTGGCCCGGGCTCTTGCAGTTGTGCAGGGTACCATTGCCAACAGCACCACCTCCAGGGTTAGCCATTTGCGGGGGGAGTGATGGAGCCTGGCCGTTCCCTCCAGAGGTCTGCGGGCGTGCGACACTGTTCCAGGCGCCAGGGGATGCAGCGAAGCACTTGAATGCTGAGTCCAGGCAGGAATCCGACCAGTCAGGCTTTTCCAGCAGAAGAGCAGCAGCCTGTCTTTTCACCCAAATCGTTGACAGGAAAACCCAATGGTTACCTTTACACTCCACAAGTCCAGTCAAAAAGAGAGCTCCCGGGAGACAAACTTGCTCACAACACTGCAAAGGAAATGGCCCATGCCGGCTCCCCCTGGGGCCAGCAGGAGGAAACGCATAACCCGGCGGCGGCAAGCCTCTGGGAGGCGGGCTGGGAGGTGGAGAGACTTTTAAAGACACACACACACTCTCACACGCATGCACACACGCACGCACACTCCCACCACTGCCGAAACATCTCCGGTTCTAGCTAGTTCCTCGCATCTCCGTCCGTGGAATTACATCTTTGAGCATCACAGAGCTCAAAAGTCAAGAAATGCTTCTTTCTTTTTTTCCTGTTAAATGGCATTTGCAGGTGGTTGCTATAGGCTAGAGGGAGGAGGGCATGGAAAGTTATTGTTTAATGAGAACAGGGTTTCAGCTGGGGCAGGGGAGGAAGGTTATGATGGTGGCTCATTGCACAACAGTGTGAGTGCACTAACGTGTGACTGAGCTGTACACTTCAAAATGATTTATATGATTTTTATATGAGTTTTATATGATGTCTGCTTTGCTATACTTTTAATGCAGTATCAACATTAAAACAACAACTGCATTCCAATTAAAACCAATGGTGTAATGAACTTCTAAGACTTCCTGGAAGAGAGATTTCTGGCAGACGAAATATATGGTTTCTCAGGGTTTCTCTGTCTCATCTATGTGCCGCTGGGAGAACTATATGTCTGTTTATGCCTCTGAGTGTTCCGTTTAAAGCAAGGCTAAGTTATGTTTGGTGAACTAACATCTGAGGAGGTGGTAGGGAAAATAGTGCTGTGGCTTAACTTTGGAATGGACAACAGGCGTTGTCAGGTGGGTGCCTAGTGCAGGGTCCCAAGGCGAAACATCTGTGGCTTACTTAGTAACTCACCTTCTCAATGAGCCAATCATCAGAAGGCCTTTCTTGCTTTCAAATAGCACTGTGATATGATTTGTAGGAGCCTCAATCGCTTACAGAATGCCTAGTCTCCCAAAGCCCACCCTCATGTTTTTCTCATACTGGGGATTTAAAAAAAAAAAAGATGTCTCAAGGTAAAGTGCCCAGAAATAGCTTTGACCAAGAAAATGTCTGATTGTCTCCTACCCTCTCATTTCCTCCTGTTCCCCCCTCTTCCCTTTTTTCCTACAAGACAAATGACAGCATCTAGAATTTCTCTTGCCCAAAGAGAGAAAGGATACAGAAACCAAGCCTTTTTTTTATCCCACAAGTGAACCATTGAGTCTAAACACATATTCTAATCTCATTATGAGCCTTTTGCATGCTACTCTTGTGTTTCTAGGTTCTGGTTGCCACAGAGATAAGAATTCAAAGCAGAGGCATAAAGATGCTACATAAGCGGAGGGATTATTTTAAAGAGAGGGGAAGAGCAAGGATGCATTTGCACAGGAGAATGAGCCACCTTACACAAAGGTACCCAGTGAGGGGCCAGAGCTACCTAGGAGAAGACAAGGGGAGGAGGGTAGAGGCGGGCCTATGAGCATTGTCCAGAGGCTACATGTGAGGGAAGAAAAGCTTCTTCTAGGTTACCAATCCTCCTAGGAGATAAGATGAAAACCGTATTTGAATATACAAATGGAGTGAGGTTTCAGCCTTCATGTGGCTTTCTGGGGGCATCAGGCTACCTTCATTTACAGTAAAGCTTTCATATTGTCATCAGTGCATCTCTTTCTTTCTGGTCCCAGATGAGACCCAGGTGTATCATGGGAACATGGGATTGACAGGTAAGGGGAAAACGGTGTAATTCAGAGCTGACAGGGATTGAGATTCCAGTTTACCAACCCCTAACTCATCTTCCAAGATCAGTCTTCACCCACTGTTCTTTCTTGGAGCTGGACATAAAGCTATTCTCCTACTTGCTTTGTCTGAGACTAGATGATAGACCCCCATTTTGGAAGGGTCCACCTGTCCCATACCCAAGAGAAAGAAGTGCTACACAGATAGGCATAAAATTCTCAACAGAAAGACCTTAATGGGTTTTCCTGTTCCACCTATCAACATTAGGCCACACCCATTTTGTTCAATCATATTTCTATCTGGCTAGCCATGCTTCCTCCAGCATATGCCTAAAGATGACTAGTTCATCCCAGGTCTTTGGGTCTCCACTGAAGATGTGGTTGGCACAAAAACAATGCGCCCGAATTGGTTCCTCATGCCTTCCTCTTGTTAACTCTCTTGATTGAAGGATGCTTTGGGCTGAGCAGGCAGGGGATGACCTCTTGTTTCATTCCCATACTAATTCCATGGGAGCCTAGAGAAGAAACTCACTCATGACCTCCAAAGTTAAAACAAATGAAAAATAGAAGCAGAGGACTCACAGCCACATGCCGGAAATGCTCCCCGTGGCCTGAGCTGCTGCTTGGCCTCTTGGTGGGCAGCATTTGTTTCCCCTCCAAAGCGATGGGACTCAGAAGGGAGGAGATGATCGTGCTTATCCTAACCATGACTTGTGTGTGAGGTTCCCCAGTTTTTCACATTCCAGAGAACATGGGACAACTTTGATAAGATCTTGGGCCAAGTGGTGAGATGGAATTAGTACCAAGTATGTCTCTGCTTAGTGTTTTGATGACACTCTCAATCTTTACATAGTAAAACCAGAATTCCACGGGTTTCTCTTCCATGGCTATTTTCTTGGGAAGTGAGAACTCCTGTGTGTTGGTTTATTTCCTCCTAAGACTTATGCAACACACACATATATAAGCACACACACACAAAAAGAGAGAGAGAGAGAGTGAGAGAGAGAGAGAGAGAGAGAGAGAGAGAAAGGAGGATGGCTTACTCTTGGCCTGACTGCCTCAGATAATGTAGAAAGGCAAGATGAAGACTTAGTGTTATTTAGAGTAAAGTTTATTATGCTACAGCATGGTTTATTTCTTTTAATACTTAATTATTTACTTGAAATGCAGAGTAACAGAAGAGAGATGGGACATAGGCAGAGAAGAGGGGAGGTTAAGGAAAGGGGAGAGAGAGTGCTCTTCCCATTCATGGCTCACTCCCATAGCAGCCAGGACTGCGTTGGGCTGAAGCTCCATCTTATAGTTGGCCTGGACTCAAGTACTTGGGCCATCATCTGCTACCTTGACATGTGCGTCTGTGTCCCTATGGTGCTGGAGGGGAAGTGTATGGTCCAGGAATCAAACTGGCATTGTGATATGGATTGCCAGCATCCTAAGTGGCCATGTAACCTATTATGCCACACACCAACCCACGAGAAGTATTTTAGATTGTATTTTGTCCATGCAAGAAACTTATTATCTTTTAAAAATGTTTTGATAAGAAGAATCTTTTTATGTTTTTAGCCAGCAAAGGATGGTAAATAGAATTAAAATGTTCAGTACTTTCCTCAGTGTTTGATGGTTACTGTAATACATTATCACAAACTCAGTGGACAAAACAGTGCAAATGCTACAATTCTGTAGGTGAAATCTGACATGCATCATACTGGGCTAAAATCAAGGCATCAGCCAGGCTTTTATTTTTTCCAGCAAATCTGCTTATTTGACTCTTTGTTTGTAAAGGATACTTGAATTGCTTGATTAATGCCAGAAATGCTACATCCGGTGAGCTTGCTGTGAATCTAGCCATGAATGCCCACAGTCAGGACCATCTCCCTGCTCATAAGCTAACACGTGATAGATTATAGTCATCAGACAAGAGAATCTGAGCATCATGCCAATTACCTCCGTTATTTAAACACTAAAAGATGAAGTTAATGAATAAGGTATAGATAAGACTGTATTCATCTATTGTCAGAATTTTGTTGTAAGTACACTTGGTGCATGCCCAAGTCTGGCCAGACAACTAGCCCGATGCTAGTTATTGGCTGTATTACCTTGCTGTAATTATCATTATGTGTGCTGAGAACAGCGTAGCCTACTCCAACAGTTTTCAAGAACATAGTGCATTGCTATTAACCAGAGTCACTGTGTTCTAAGTAGATCTCTTGAACTTATTTCTCCTAACAGAAATTTTACATCAACTTTTTGAGAGATTGCCAAGCTATTTTTGTTATACAAAGCAGCCCATTTAGAGGGTTGCAGTGGTTATAACATGAGCAGTTTTGGTGGACCATTTTCAGAAAAGCCAAAATACTAACACTAGATACTAAGATTTATTGTATTTTTATGGGAAAGGCAGATTTGCAGAAAGAAGGAGAGACAGAAAGATCTGTCTGCTGGTTCACTCCGTAAGGTGGTCACAACAGCTAGAACTGTTATTTATTTATTTTTTTTTTTTTTGGTAAGGAGCAAGTTTTTATACAAGGTATAAAGCATTTGTATGAGTTATTTTTATTTGGAGAAAAATCAGCATGTTTTGATACTTAATATTTAATTGACTGTTGCAGCCAGAAACTTACATCCCTTGCATCTGGAAGGCAGTGTGCAGAATATTCACTTTCAGCCTCACGGAAGGATTCATGATATTGAAAAATCCCAACAGTCAAGAACCTTGCTAGAGAAGCAAAGTATAGAAATTCAAAATAAACAAAAAGTTCATAGCATTAAATATCTCAGGACAATTTCTTAAAGATTAATGGGAAAAAAAACATTACAATTAGTCATTGCTGGTTAGATGTATTCTTCTTGGTTGAAGCAGCAAAGCATAGGAAAATATTTCATGTCAACTTGATACTCGGCTTCAAAGTTGGCCAGATCATCCTTGTTTTTTTCTGCTCTCCACAAATCACAATGAAGCTGTTATTCAACGTTGAACAGTGGCAGCACTAGAGACAGGTGCTGGTGGGCAGGGGTGGCGTACAGCTCAGCATGTA